GACCCCCCTAAACTATACTATTTTAGAAATAAACTTACGTCATTTTAATAAAGCTGAAATTTATATATATTATTGAGAGTTCTCTCAAACTGAGTTTCCTAAATTGCCAGACAGTTTTCTTGGTTCCTTATCATACCAGACTCATTGAAACCGTATATTGGGTAACAACGGTGTATACAATTTCATATCAAATTCGTTATTTTAAGATGCTCCATTTTTTCACATACTGCTCGTAACAGTATTATAACTTGCTCTGCTCATTGCCAGACCCTTAGTGTGGTTCCAACCCCCCGCCGGACCCCCCTAAACTATACTATTTTGTAAATAAACTTACGTCATTTTAATAAAGCTGAAATTTATATATATTATTGAGAGTTCTCTCAAACTGAGTTTTCTAAATTGCCAGACAGTTTTCTTGGTTCTTTATTCCACCAGAATCATTGAAACCGTATATTGGATAACAACGGTGTATACAATTTCATGTCAAATTCATTATTTTAAGATGCTCCATTTTTTCACATATTGTTCGTAGCATTATTATAACTTGCTCTGCTCATTGCCAGACACGTAGTGTGGTTCCAACCCCCCGCCGGACCCCCCAAAACTATACTATTTTAGAAATAAACTTACGTCATTTTAATAAAGCTGAAATTTATATATATTATTGAGAGTTCTCTCAAACTGAGTTTCCTAAATTGCCAGACAGTTTTCTTGGTTCCTTATCATACCAGACTCATTGAAACCGTATATTGGGTAACAACGGTGTATACAATTTCATATCAAATTCGTTATTTTAAGATGCTCCATTTTTTCACATATTGCTCGTAACAGTATTATAACTTGCTCTGCTCATTGCCAGACCCTTAGTGTGGTTCCTACCCCCCGCCGGACCCCCCTAAATTATACTATTTTATAAATAAACTTACGTCATTTTAATAAAGCTGAACTTTATATATATTATTGAGAGAACTATTAAACTGAGTTTCCTAAATTGCCAGACAGTTTTCTTGGTTCCTTATCCTACCAAACTCATTGAAACCGTATATTGGGTAACAACGGTGTATACAATTTCATATCAAATTCGTTATTTTAAGATGCTCCATTTTTTCACATATTGCTCGTAACAGTATTATAACTTGCTCTGCTCGTTGCCAGACCCTTAGTGTGGTTCCAACCCCCTGCCGGACCCCCCAAACTATACTATTTTATAAATAAATTTACGTTATTTTAATAAAGCTGTAATTTATATACATTATAAATAAAATAAGTTTATTTATAAAATAGTATAGTTTAGGGGGGTCCGGCGGGGGGTTGGAACCACACTAAGGGTCTGGCAATGAGCAGAGCAAGTTATAATACTGTTACGAGCAATATGTGATAAAATGGAGCATCTTAAAATAACGAATTTGATATGAATTGTATACACCGTTGTTACCCAATATACGGTTTCAATGAGTCTGGTATGATAAGGTACCAAGAAAACTGTCTGGCAATTTAGGAAACTCAGTTTGAGAGAACTCTCAATAATATATATAAATTTCAGCTTTATTAAAATGACGTAAGTTTATTTACAAAATAGTATAGTTTAGGGGGTCCGGCGGGGGTTGGAACCACACTAAGGGTCTGGCAATGAGCAGGGCAAGTTATAATACTGTTACGAGCAATATGTGAAAAAATGGAGCATCTTAAAATAACGAATTTGATATGAAATTGTATACACCGTTGTTACCCAATATACGGTTTCAATGAGTTTGGTGGGATAAGGAACCAAGAAAACTGTCTGGCAATTTAGGAAACTCAGTTTGAGAGAACTCTCAATAATATATATAAATTTCAGCTTTATTAAAATGACGTAAGTTTATTTCTAAAATAGTATAGTTTAGGGGGGTCCGGCGGGGGGTTGGAACCACACTAAGGGTCTGGCAATGAGCAGAGCAAGTTATAATACTGTTACGAGCAATATGTGAAAAAATGGAGCATCTTAAAATAACGAATTTGATATGAAATTGTATACACCGTTGTTACCCAATATACGGTTTCAATGAGTCTGGTATGATAAGGAACCAAGAAAACTGTCTGGCAATTTAGGAAACTCAGTTTGAGAGAACTCTCAATAATATATATAAATTTCAGCTTTATTAAAATGACGTAAGTTTATTTCTAAAATAGTATAGTTTAGGGGGGTCCGGCGGGGGGTTGGAACCACACTACGTGTCTGGCAATGAGCAGCGCAAGTTATAATAGTGCTACGAACAATATATGAAAATATGGAGTTTCTTAAAATAACGAATTTGGTATGATTTTTTTTACACCTTTGTTACCTGGTACCTGCCAAAGGAACCACGATCCAGGTTTCATATTTGGGGATCGTTCTTACCTGTGTTGGGGACACACAGACAAGAACTTTCACGTTTATTAAAATGACGTATGTCTGGCAGTCGTGGGCTCTTGGGCTATTGTAACCTTTCCTCTGTGTCCTGTTTGCTCACTGTTATATTCATTTTAATTCCTTTATTTATGGCAGTATGTGACATTTCATTGTCAGATTATTAAATATGTATTTATGTATGTGGCTATTTATTCATATATATTTGAGTGTGTATCGTTTAATATATTTATATTTGCAGCGCCAACTATTATTCTCTGCACCACCCATGATTGACTAGTGTTAAGTCCGCCATATATGTGATTTAAAATTATGTGCATTAAAGTATAAATAAAAAAATATGAATTTTCAACTTAATAGAGTACATGTAGACAGGTACATATTTCTCCAATCAGCTGAACTTGTTACGTTGTATTAAAATACAGCTATTAATTTAATCTAGATAATTATGTTTATTATGATAAAAAGTATTGAAATAACAAATTCAATATGCGTTAGTTTGTCCTATTAATTATATACCTAAATCCATAAAAATGCTTACTTTAATTAAAACGTAGTTGATCAATGATAAATGTTATGTTTGCGATAACAAATGAATACTGTTTAACGTTGTAATTTTGGCTTATGACCTTTTTATTTTGCCACAGTACCTACGCATATATAATGGTTATTATTATATTACGAACGTATTGGTGTCTTTCTAATAAGAATAGATGTAATTACTAGCGTGTTTTGTACAACACAAATACTTAAATAGTTAGATTATGTTAATTTATGAAATATAACCTAGGCAGTTAGCAACCACGTTGATTTGTTGGCTAATATCATTAGCAATGGAAGCATGGAAAATTTTAATCTGTACATTTTTTTTGATAGCGCAGTAGCGAATTTCAGAAAGGCATATTTAATAATTTGCCGACCATTAAAAAACCTTAACGGTAGGTTTGTTTGGGTATTTCAGGGGTCGGCAATACATACGGAAAATATGCCTTTTTGAAGTCTAGAAAGAATTGTATTTTTTTTTATTTCTCACTTTAATGGCAAACAAACTGACGACCCTTATAATGGGGCAACTGTGGCCTATATACATCGATGGCACCACCTATCATCATTCCACGCCAGTGGTAGACATCGAGCATTATCGTTCTCGGGGATTAAAGCATCAATGAGGTATCTAGTGATTTAACTGCCATATCTGACTCTATAACCAAAACGTAACTTATATTCTTATTATTTATAATATATTAATTTATATATGTTTTGCATATATATTTCATTGTGAAGCATATTATTTATTGTACCTATTTCCACAATTCCAAAACTCCTCTGTCACTCAAAGGTTGACTGGAAGAAATCCCTATTTTGAGATAAGTTCGCCATTATACGTAATGGCAATGTACGTATATATTATACTTTAAATCAATTGTGTCCTTTTATTTATAATTTTATTGTATAATAAGGTATTAGAAACCATCAAACAAACATAGATTATAAAGCAAAGTCCTTAGCGTCTAAAATAGATGAAGCAGGCAGACCAAACAGAAGTCTACCTGGGTATAATGTTCTGTTCTTAAAATATTCTTATTAAAAACCACTAAACTTAGCCTTAATGCCGGTAGATTAAGGTAGCATACAGTTTTACTTCCGATGGTCGCGGGTTCGATTGCTAGCACGGCACAAACATTTTTATTCATGAATATGATAGTTTGTATCGATCTGCATGTTTTCTATGTACAATATCTATGTAATAACAACAAAATAGAACTGTGCTTATATCAGTTGTCTAGTACCCATTATACTAGCTCTTAGCTTGGGACTAGATGGCGTTGTGTGAATTGTCCTAACAAAAGTAATAGTCTATTAAATTATACTTTTAATTATCTAACTACTAAACAATATTTACTCTTAGAATATTTATTTATTTGGTGAGATAAAGATGTTATTATCTATCCTATTCACAATGTAACATGTCTGTTTTAACACAATGTAATATAGATTTCACTATCAGTATTCAAAATATATAATAACCCATGACATAGTCAGTGCCGGATAACATTTACTACGAGCCCCACGCACTAAGGAGCCCCATCATCCTATCTGAACATAAGAGTACCTAATAGAACAAAGAATTAACAACAAAACTGTTCCATAATCTTTAACTTATTTTCCTTTACATTTAGCGTAGGTTAACATAGGGTAAACCTAGAGTCTTGAAGGAACTTGCTAGGCCTCGCGTTATCTTAATCCGGCATTGGAAATAATATAAGTCATAGCAACAGTTTCAGACTAAGTAGAGCTGTACTAAGTGCAAGGAACTGATAGAAACACTTAAATATACATTTATATATAAAAACACATAATAGACCCTCAATAAAAAATAGTCATGACTATTAATTATATGTATAGCGCGGGAATCGAACCCACAACGATCAGAAGGTATGTTAAAATGCTGCACAAATTCTAATCATAAAAAGTACATTAATATTAAGATAATTTGTAATCTATAGAATAAAATTGTGTTTAAACAATATTCAGAGAAATGTCGTTGGTAAATTTTATTTAAGAAGATTAATAAGATTAGATATAAAATTAATTATATATTATAATTAATTACATTATTACATTACGAATCAAGTACTTCGTATGACAAGTATCAGCTACTGCTATAAGTTGCTAGGTCTCAAATAGTTATGACCGATGGTGTCTTCGGGAAGCTTGCAGTCCTTCCATGGTATCGAGTGCACTCTGAATGGACCACTACCAGACAATGTCACTGCAAAAAAATCATTTGTTTTTATTAAATCAAGTCACAGCATCTTATTAATAGATCTACTAGCTGACCCCCGAAACGTTACTTTGACATATAAATGGAAACCGCTATTAAAAAATAGGGTTTGGTGATAGAAGGGTGTAAATTTAGGGTCATATGTATTTTTAATACCATAAAAATTATTGTCTAATAAAAAAAAGTTAGGAGTGGACAACCCTTATCACTTAGGGGTAATAAAAAATACCAGCCGACTCTCAGATCTACTGAATATGCATATAAAATATAAAAATCAGTCGGTCGTTTTGGAGGAATACGGTACCTAATACTGTGACACTAAATTTTATATATAAGATTATAGACACTGAATACGTCTGATAAATAAAATATACCGTAGAGTCGGAATATATTTTAAGTGGAGAAGAACTGGCAAGAAACTCTGCATTTAATTTTTTCAAATGAGTTTCTACGGAAGTGTAAAATATTGGTTTTAAGGCTTATACAAAGGTTCTTTCATTCGTTCCAGTTCATAGTTTTCGAGCCTGCCGGTAGTAGGTAATTATTTTTTCCATAGATAATAATATCATGGTGCATCCCTGCGCTGATTATATAAGCTGACGCGCACCAATGGAGAATGATGAGTCAAAGCAGTTAGCCCAACATGGCGGATACATCAAGAATTTATTATAAATTAAAAGGAAATATCACCAAGTAGAAATCGCAAAAGGAAAAGATTCCTACTCAGATTATGAGTACATTAATAAATAAACAGTGATAGCTGAATCTGGCAACATTCTAATCAAGTCCGAGCTCAAAATAAACGACGAAGAAAGAAGATGAACAGACATGTTTGCCCTTAATTCATCGATGTGTGTGAATAGTCCATCTCACTAGTAACAAGTGCGTAGACTTGTGAGTTAAGTTTCGAAATAGGGACTATAGTAATGTATTTTGTGGACAATGGAATAAAACCTACGTAAACCTACTGATAATATAGGCCATGTAGATTTATATGGCTGATGGAATTTTAAAAATCAGCTTAATATATTTTTATCTATTATAACCAAACATACAATATATCTTTCCACTTTAGTATAGATAAAATCAATGTCAAATTAGTAAGTAAACATTGAGTAGAAGAGATTGTTTATAGCGATAAGGCCGTCCTTTATTTTCTCTTGTGTGATCGAGTGTTATGCTCGTAATAATTATTATCACAGTTTTTTTTTAATTTTACGTAACTCCAATGACAAACAAGTTGGCGACGAACCTTATGAAAACTGGGAAGTTATAGACATGAACATGACGAAATAATTTTGTCATGCCAATTTTATTCCTTTCTATTATTAGGAAATAAGGCGTTACCACCATTTAATTTCAATGTAATTTTTCAAAGGATAAGTCTTATAACCTGCTTAATATATAATATGCTTGCGAAACAAGCTAATTAATGTTAAAAGTAGCCCGTGAACTTTATACTAATACCACAGATAACATAATATTACATACTAATACTAATATTATAAACGCAAAAGTTTATGAGTATGCTTGTTACTCTTTCACGCAAAAACTATTGAACGGATTTTTATGAAACTTTGTAGTAATATAGCTTGCTTATATATCAGGAAAACATATAGACAATAATTTAACGCTGTTGAATCCGCGTATCTATTAATTTGTTTTCTACGCCTACATTTTTCATTTTAATATAGATTTACGATCAGCTTATGATAGGATTAAAGAATAAAAAAGCCATTAATCCTTTTAAGTTAATGCTATATTTGCGTTTATAATGTAGATTAGTTTATCAACATATCTGTTATAAACAAATATGATAACATTTTTTACCGAAATAGAATTTAAAAGGTCGTATGCGTCTGTCGTTGGTTTCAACAATTTCAGCCGCTGAGCAGCTTGCTTGGTAACATCTTACCAAGCTATTTACCATGCTGTTGATGGGTTGATTGGTTGATTGATTGATTGATTGATTGGAACCTACAGGATAACAGGTATGACATTTAAGTTCTCCGGAGTGACAACGCTTGAGCATTAAGGTCATTGCATTAAGGGTCATATTATGACATGATGTCCATAGTGCTGTTCATGTATATAGGCCACGTTTATCACATGCCATCAAGTCAACTTATTGGCTATTCTAAGTATATAACAAATATAATCACATAAAAATAAACATATTATTATATTTTTAAGACTGTTATCTTAGGTGGACAGTCAGAGTGCTAATTGTCAATGTCGTGATAAACTTGATATGCTTATATGAATTATACTGATTATACATTCACCCGACGCGGCGACTTAGCAGACAGCGATTCTACCATTTTTCAGATTAATTTGTACTGTTATCGGTGTCTTTATCACCGAAGGGTTAATCATAGATATGAATTGATTGGCATGTTTTTGTGTCGGCTACATTAGAAATCACGATCGAAATAAAAAATGAACATATCTTTATTCATCTAGGTCTATTACACTCTTATGATATGTTAAATCTACTATCAGTTCGGAGTGCTTACGAACAGAGAAGAACTGACAAGAAATTCAGCTCTTATTATTTCCAAATAAATTTGTACATGATTACAAAAATTAAGATTCATATTTAAATTAAAATTTGGGAGAATATAGTGACCTATAAATTTGTTTGTATTATTATTCAATACCTGTCATTCCTGGTGCCAGCGTAATGTTGTACTTTCCATCATTAAAGGTTAAGGGCCAGGCGTCATCTAGAGACTCCACGACCAATGTGCTGCTCGCTTCTGTTATGCCCAATGTTAAATTGGCACCCAAATATTTTATACCTGTGAATTACAAATTATAATTATTATGATTGTATTTATTTACAACTAGCTGAACCCGCGACTTCGTCCGCGTAGAATTTAACTTTATTTTTCTCAAATAAAAGTAGCTAAGTTACTCCGTATTACATCAACTACCTGCCAAAAAAAGTCCCGTCAAAATCGGTCCAGCCATTTCAGAGATTAGCCGAACAAACAGACTGGCAGTAAGACAAAAATTGTAAAAAATGTTATTTTAGTGTAAGTACCGTATTATATTCATATGCATGTAGTAAAAAACGGTTATTTCAATATTGTTTACTGTTTGTAACAGACACTCCAATTTTATATATATATATATATATATATATATATATATATATATATATATATATATAAATATCCCCTTGGGCACTTTGTGGCTCAGACGTGCCGTATAGGTAGTTTTTTGTTGATCTAATGCCAGCTGACCATATATAAATGTTGATCCGTTTTGAGCCACAACTGTCACGACGAGTAATAATAATAATTAAGCGATTTATACACGATTTTATACAAATCCACCTTTTTGGCATACGAGCAGTTCTTGATCCAATTCAAACGGGCCAATCAGGGCGCAGCATTTGCCAAGGGCTTCCTCATTGGCACGTTTGGGCTACTACATTATGGCTACAGTAACTTAATAATGTCTAGCTAGTATTTCAAGAATAATAGTCTATCTAATCTAAATATTTATAGAAATCAGTCTGGAGTAACGTGACTCCAGATCAAACCTCAGTACTTGTAATTTTTTGGTCGGGAACTTTTCCTTTTGTAACAACGTTACTGAGCGAATGAAGAGAAGACGCAACGGCGGATCCAGGGGGGAGCGTCATGGAGGTCTTGGGAGTCATGGGGGGTCATGACTCTCCCCCCCCTTAGCCCAGGACTTAGGTAGACCACTGATTGAACTAAAAAATAATGAAACAGCAAAACTTTTTGCACGATGGGAGTGTTGGTGCAGTAGTATTAATTATAATTAAACATTGTTACTTAAAATATAACACTTAAAGTACTATAACACTAAAAGCAAAATAGGTATTTTCAAAATACTTTTTCAAACTAAATTACCCTTTGAGTTTTTGTCCAAACCTCAGATATTTTATTTATTTTAGGTATATCAATCATTACATAGTATAGTATAGTATAGTATAAAACAAAGTCGCTGTCGCATCTAACAAGTACATAAATAAAGAAACAAGACTTTTGGCTCTGAATATATTTCAAAAATCAATTACTTGTGTTAATCAATTTATATACTCGTTCTTATTTCATAGTACTTGTTTTGATCCGAATATATACAGATACCGTAACGGTCTATTAATTATGAATTTATTATACCTAACCTAGATATTTTATTTTGACGAAACTCCGTGTAGTAGTAGTATCCGATAAGGGTATGCGAACCCTAAGTATTATTTCAAAATGACCAGTAATTTCGAAGAAATAAGCCTTTGAATTTTGAATTTTGATTTTAATAAGCCTTTGAATCAATTTACCAAACGGACGCTCAAGGTTCGATTCCCGCCACCTATTTTTTTTTGTTATTTTTTTTTCTTTATTCTAATTTTAAATTAACTATTTTAATAATTAAATGAATTTAATCGAACAAAACGTTGTTAAGTATTCAATTAATTTTAATTTACATTACCTATTGTACTTTCTAAATTGTAAAGCAGCTAACAATTATAGTAAGATCTTATAAATAACTAACACAACAAGTAAAACATTTTAAATGTATTTTCTTTATTATTACAAATATTTTTTATGCATAATATAATAGTTAATATCACTTAAAATTAATTTAATACTTAACAACGATTTTATCGATTAAATTCATTTAAATATAACCCATAAATGTATAAATATTATATATAAATAAATACATAATGATCTGATAATCAAATTATAAGTACAGTCTCAAATTGAAAGTAAGAAAAACAGAAAATATAGAGAGAACTATAGGGATATAACAGAAAGATGTGAAAATTGGAGAAGGACAGTAAAAAAGTTACAAATTTAAATAATGTTGCCGCAATTTCTGTTTAAATGAATTTATTACATTATTATATATATTAGGCATACGACTAGCCTTATGACTGTTACTTTTTTTTTAATCTATACATCTATACATGTAAATAAAATTGGAGTGTCTGTTTGCAATATTGAAATAACCGTTTTTACTACTTGCATATGAATATAAATACGGTATACACCAAAATAACATATTTTACAAGTTTTGTCTGTCTGTCTGTCTGTTTGTTCCGGCTAATCTCTGAAATTGCTGGACCGATTTTGACGGGACTTTTTTTGGCAAGTAGCTGATGTAATAAGGAGTAACTTGCGCTACTGTTATTTTAGAAAAATAAAATAAAATTCACGCGGACGAAGTCGCTGGGGCCAGCTAGTCTATAGATATACCGAGATTTAATATTTAAGTTGCTATTATGTTGTTGACAAAATTTTACTGTAATGTTACTATTACGTTATCCTACACAATTTGTATTATTTTGGATGAATAAATAAATAAATAAATAATAATCTATACATCTATACATATAAATAAAATTGGAGTGTCTGTTTGTAATATTGAAATAACCGTTTTTTACTACATGCATATGAATATATATAAGGTACATATACCAAAATAACTATTTTTATAATTTTAGTCTGTCTGTCTGTCTGTCTGTTTGTTCCGGCTAATCTCTGAAATGGCTGGACCGATTTTGACGGTACTTTTTTTGGCAGGTAGCTGATTTATAAGGAGTAACTTAGGCTACTTTTATTTTAGAAAAATAAAGTTAAATTCCACGCGGACGAAGTCGCGGGAACAGCTTATTTTTAATAAAAACATCTTTTTTGTGGTACTTGAGAATGTTGAAGCCTGTTGTTTGTAATATTGAAATAACCGTTTTTTACTACTTGCATATGAATATAAATACGGTACATACACCAAAATAACATATTTTACAATTTTTGTCCGTCTGTCTGTTTGTTCCGGCTAATCTCTGAAATGGCTGGACCGATTTTGACGGGACTTTTTTTGGCAGGTAGCTGATGTAATAAGGAGTAACTTAGGCCACTTTTATTTTAGAAAAATAAAGTTAAAAACCACGTGGACGAAGTCGCGGGAACAGCTAGTGTATAATATATTAGAGATACCTACGTGTTTTTTTTATTGATGACTAGCTGTACACGGGATTTCGTCCGTGTGGAATTTAACTTTATTTTTCTAAAATATAAGAAGTTAAATTCACGCGGACGAAGTCGCGTGTACAGCTAGTTGTCGGTAGTCTAGCGATTTAGCTAGCACACTGCTTTGATTCCTGCTTGGTGGTCGAGGGTTCGATTCCTCGCACGCTGCAAACATTTGTATTCATGAGTATGATTGTTTGTAACGGTCTGGGTGTTTTCTATGTAGGTATAGATAATATATATGTATTTACGAAAAAAAATCTTTGTATTTATATCAGTACCCATAACATAATCTTCAGCTAGCTTAACTTGGGTCTAGATGAAGCTGTGTGAATTGTCCTGAGATTACTATTATTACTATAATAAATCTTTTCAAATCAGCCGATGTTTATTTTTGCCATAATACGTGCTGTTGCCATGTGATAATATTACTTACGTACTTATTAAACTATTAACTTATTATTAAATTATTAACTATTTATACTGTTTTAAATGTGATGCGTTCATTATTTATATTTCCTTTGAATTAAAGACAAATGTATATATATATATACACTTGCACACTTAGTTGATCCAGCCACGATCCGTAGATATTGCTGATTCCACTGTCTCTCTCTTTCTATCACTATCTTTGTATTCTAATATGCGATGTTGCCGTTCCGGCCGAGACCATGCGTTGTTGCCAAATGTATTCGTCGATAGTAGTAGATACCTATACTCGATATATATTTTTTCAACAATTTCCTGCAATAGTGAATCCGTAACGGCAATTTTTTTTAAATGCACAAAGATTTTTTGGCTCTGAATATATTTAAAAATCATTTACTTGTGTGTTGATGAATTTATATACTAGTACATGAAGTACCTAATACTTGTTTTGATTTGAATAGGTAGCGATATTATGAATTTATTATACGTAATCTAAAGATTTTGACGAAATAAAAGTAATTAGTTATCTGTTAACCTTGACTTCATGCTGGCACCAGTATTATCAGATGATGAACATACTCTTCGAAAACTTACAGCAGAAATATCGTGTTTGGACTCATTAGATAGGTCTCGATGAATAGAGTTTAAAAAACTTAAAATAAATGGTAAATTAGAAATAATGTATAAATACCCCTTACGTAAAATTCAACCACTTTAAACTTAATAATAATAACAATTAGGAAAAGAGAAAAGCTATACATGCACTGAAAGTAATTGATGCCTTCCACACAATATTTTCAGTATTAAACAACTCTGTTTGTTCAGTAAAAGTGTAAATACACTGGTAACCTTTAATCATATTTTATATGCAAACATTACATATACAAACCCTAAAGTTTTATTTCAGAATAGCCAGTAGTTTTCAAGAAATAAGTCTTTGAAATTGTACGTGTAACTTATATATATACTAATTTTTTCACCATAACAAACAACACCAATATGGCCTAGTTAGTAGTTTACCTGTGTACCAATTAATAATAATAGTAATCTCAGGACAATTCACACAGCTTCATCTAGACCCAAGTTAAGCTAGCTGAAGATTATGTTATGGGTACTGATATAAATACAAAGATTTTTTTCGTAAATACATATATATTATATATACATAGAAAACACCCAGACCGTTACAAACAATTTAATAATAAGTTAATAGTTTAATAAGTACGTAAGTAATATTATCACATGGTAACAGCACGTATTATGGCAAAAATAAACATCGGCTGATTTGAAAAGATTTATTATAGTAATAATAGTAATCTCAGGACAATTCACACAGCTTCATCTAGACCCAAGTTAAGCTA